AGTCCACGCCACTGCGAACGCCACTGCGAGTGGGAGGGGCGGGAAAGGTGCCGGCTGGGTGGCGAGGCGTACGGCGGACCGGCAGACGCAGAAAAATGCACTGGAAAAGAATAATCCCGCTTTTGCATGCCCAGTGCCGACTGTTGCCTCTACCTGCTTCTTAAATTCAAAATCTGGATTTGAAGTTAATTGTAGAACTATGGATCTTACATATCATTTCCAAAAAGTTCTTAAAATTCGTAACTGGCTGCTTTTAACTATAAGAAGTGGTTTATGTTAATTTTCAAAAGCAAAGTGTTATGAAAACTTAAATATGATTCTGAATCTCTGCATGAAACGTGATAATAGTTTCATTAAAAGTTTCATCTCACCATCTCTTACTTGCTTAGATGTGTGTTTGTGTCACAAGCTGTGCAATCACACCAATGGAAGACATAAGCCCAAGAAAAAGACATTTCCGAACCTCCGTGGAATTGATATTTTTTCATAGGGCAGTTTAATTTACGTCCACAGAACTCTTTTTCTTTTCTATTTGTGGCCACTGAAACAGTAATTTTTTTTTAAATGGCAAGCAGCGGGACCGTCCAAACGAAATGATGAACCGAGGCCCGAATTCCCTTTCGGAGACCCATAATGAAACGGCACAAGAGTAACGGGCCGTCGTATTGCGCCAAAAGGCCGTTATTAAAAACGACGCTTCCCCGCCTAACTCGTTTAGCACCGCGTAGCATCGCGGGGAACCTGCGTGCCCCGCACAGTGGGCCAGCAGACCGGCGGAGGCAGTCGAAGTCCCGGACGCGTTTTGAGCCCCAGAGTCGCCACAGGGGGTTCGAACCGAAGGTGTGACCCCACCAATGGATTGCTCTCCGAACGAGGAATCCATTGGTGGGGTCACACGTTCGTTTCGAGTCCTGTTTAGCGACGCTTGAGCTCAAAACGCATCTAGATTTTTGGCCACCGGTCTCCTGGTCAGTGTGACACTGGGGCAGTGTTGCCGAACAGTCGAACATACCGCCAACACAGACACCGAGGCGGCTGCTTGCGTGGGGCGTACACTCCCCGACACCGAACTTTCCCGGGCAATGGCACGACACTTATGTCACTACACTGTCAGTCCGTCTGCGGGGCCCCTCACTCTGCCAGTGTGCTAGTCGTAACGAACGGGCTTGTTAGGGGCAACCTGGCTGTGCCGTTCGAAAAGCTCCCGTCCTTTCTTCTCCTTCGCCGCGGCAGTCTCGGCGGAGCGAGAGAGACAGCGTGGAGCCTCGGTGAGGTCGAACGCCGTGGGGTGGAGAGAGGCCCTCTGACAAGGCTGGAAAAGAGTTTCCAGGGAGGGAGTGAAAAGACTCAAAAGACGGGGACAAAGAACTACTCGACGGGTTTCTTTTCGCCCGGTCGGAATCAATATTGATGCGGGCTGCAAGCGCTGCAAGCTGGCAGCGGCCGTGGCATGCAAAAGAACTGCAGCCGCAACCATTTTTGTTCCATTTTCCTGGAAAAGTTGAAACGGAGTTCGAAATGACGTCACGATGCGGCAGACCGCGGAGGAAGGTTTTGACAAAACGCGGTCTGAAAAAAATATTACGGAGAATCAAGCCGAAACTGCAAACACAAAAAACGTCTTTCTATTCTGCTGAAGCGATGCACGTGGCACCCGAGTGTCGAGCACGATGTAAGTGCGACAACAAAGCAGTGTGCCAATTTGCCGGAGAGCGCCAATTTGGGACGCCAAGTTTGGGGAAAGTTTTCCCTCTCACTTCCAGTCACCTGCCAGCGCCACCCATGCGCGTGGAGCGCGTAACGACGGCCAGAGCTGCCACATAGGTAGGCAAAAATTTGCGGCAAGTCTGGACAGTGTTTGCCAACCGCAGCCTGCCTACCTCCCGAGAGGTTAAGTAGTAGTGAGGCCTCAATCAGGGCTTGGTCTTGAAAGGTTGCCTTTCAGGCAGGCTTAAGAAAAAGCACATTGGGTCAGAAGAAAGACTGTAGCCAAACTACTAGACGCGTTTTGAGCTCCAGAGTCGCTACAGAGGACTAGAACTGAACGTGAGACTCACACTCGACCAATGGATTCCTCGTTTGGAGAGCAATCCATTGGTGGGGTCACACGTTCGGTTCAAGTCCCATTTAGCGACTCTGGAGCGCAAAACTCGTCTAGAGTTTCGGCCGCCTCCATCGGTCTTCTGATCCACTATGCTGAGGATGGCATCCAACCCAACACTGGCGCGCCGAGGTAGAATTTTCCCACTGATGTGGCAGCACTGCACACAGCAGTGGGCTGGCTGCGCGCTGGCCCAGTGCAGCCAGCTGCTGGCGAGCCCAGCGGGCGGCTGACTCCTTTCATATTTTATTTTTAAATAACCCCTCGGGACAAAATGAATCGGAGAAAAATGGGGAGTGACTGGTGCAGGCGGGCGAGGCGCTCATTGTTGACGCCGTAATGGCCGCTCGAGGCGACCGGAAGTGCCTCAAGCACCTGCATCCAGTGGAGTGGAGGGCCGTCCCACCGCGGCCATTTAATTGCTGCACGCCAAAAGAAAAATCGAAAAGATGCCTCGTGGGCCAGAAGACCGGTGGAGGCGGTCAGAACCTCGGACGCGTTTTTAGCTCAAGAGTCTCGAACCGAACGTGTGATCCCGCCAATGCATTGCTCTCTGAACGAGGAATCCGCTGGTGGGGTCACACGTTAGGCTTGATGCCTGTAAAGTGACTCTGAAGCTACGCGTCGAGAGTTTGGACGCCTCCACCGGTCTTCTGGCCCACTGTGCAGTGACGTCCCGAAGCGATCACCCTTTCTCATTGGCTGAGGGCAACTTGATTTGCACGCACCTGGAAGCAGCAAGCAGTAATCTGATTCCGAGAGCTGTTTTCGTCGCTGTGGCTCCGCACTACTCAAGGGGCGTCCCTCGTAGGTGGGAGAGCGACGGAGCTGCCGAAACGACTCTCAGCCAACAGGCAGGAAGTGCCGCAAGGCTGATGCAAATGGAGAAGTGTCGCCTGCATGCGATTGCCTCGGATTGCTCGCCCGTCCCCGGCGCGCCATCCATTTGCAGAGGCTGCCGAGGTAGCCGGCCGAAAAATGGCGGGGAAAATAAGAAACACGGGCGGCGGCCCACACCGTGATTAAGTATGATCGATCAGCGGACGGAAAAATGCGGAGGAAAGACCGACCGCCCGCCTGCTCCCTTCTCGCTCCGCCCAGGCCGCTCCACCACTCCCTCATTTGCACAGCGGCGCCGCAGTGACTCCGTTTACGCAAAAGTCGGACTGTTTTTCTTCAGAAGTTGAGCCCGTCCCCAGCGTCGCCGAACTCATTGGAATGTTATTCTATTGATTCGACAAGGGCCACAGTCAAATGCCACAAACGGTTGCTGCGAGTTCAGGTTCTGTTTGGAACTGTGGCTGGGCACTCTGAATTTGCCACGGCAATGCGTTGGCGGTGATTTCTGTACAAGGAAAGTTTATGCAGTACACAAGTGAGTAACTCTGGCCGGTACCCGAAGCACTGAAAAGCCAAGTTGCCGTCTTGCGTCCCGTTTGTTCCACATGGTGTAAACAGCACAAAGCTTTCGCCGCGGCAGTTTCTTCCAGAGTGGATGCTTGTACCCGGAGCCCCCTCAGTGTGTGGGACAGCCCGGAGCAGGGCAGGGCAGCAAGTTTTGGGACAGCCTTACTGCATGCCTCGCCCCTCGCCGCCTATCATGCATGCTAAGCCGTTGGCTCATGCCAACGGGGGCCACGCCGCGGAAAAGGCAGCAAAGTTTTCGGCCAGCGTCCTTACATTCCTCACATTCCCTAAAACATCCCACTTATACACCATTTTCCAATTTAAATAACAAAGCGGAAGCACTTTGCGCATTATACAAAGATATTCTCCGCCGCCCAGTCATATATATTTCCAAAACAACACAAAAATTATTTGCAAAAAGTGCTGCCAGGAGGTTTGCGAAACTGTTGCCAGCAGATATGCAACAAAGGGCTCACTTGGCTGGCAGATGCTGGTGAACTGCACACTTGGGTCGCTCGGTGGTTTGTATGGGCATACTGCCGGGGCATAAGTGTGTGTGTGTGTGTGTGTGTGTGTGTGTGTGTGTGTGTGTGTAGGAACATCGCGCGTCGTGTCCGCGAAGCTGGCGCCATAAACGTGGGCAAAATAGTGCATGGTCGCAGTCCAACTGCAAGGAGGGGGCCGGGGGTGTGGTTTGGGGGTGACAGCGCGGGGGAGGGGGCGGTTTTCTCCCAGCCATGCACTCATCTGAACCTCCGGGGAAGATAAAGTGCTGCAGGGTTGGCAGGGGGAGGGGGGATGTTGGGGGCGGTTTTACGCGCCCGACAGCAATAACTAGACGCGTGCCGCGCCAAGGCCAGGGCCGCCGGGGCCGCCAGGGCCGCCGGGGCGAGTCCACCGTGATTTGGAGCTTTATGTGACGCGATGCAACTCGTCTGCGCCCTCGCCACTCTCACAGGCCCCCACATCAACATGTTTACGAGCTGGACCCGCAAAAAAAAAAAACACGTATCACCTGACTGGACAAGTGATAGGGGTCCGCTCATTTTCCCATCGACGATGATGCTTCCGATAGAAACAAAGCCTCAAAATGTCCCCACACTGAGCAGTGTCGGTGCAGCACGGGGTGCATCCGTTTATCATGCGTGCAGAAGGTGTTGCTGGCCGCGCCTCCAGTCCCCGAGGGACTCACAATTCACAAAAGCAAATGGCATGGAAATTGGGCCTGATTTTCAATCTGCATATCAAACTGCAATCTCGCAGCGTCATCAAAGGTATTTACATACCGCAGTAATTAGGCGAGGGCTCGATTGCTCCTCGTGATAAGTGAGGCGGAGGGCCAAGGGCCTGGAAGTGGCCGAGTTGATTGAGCCACGCGGAGCTTTTCGGCATTCGTGGCTCTCCGCGGGCAAATCACGTTACCCGTCTCCATCTCCAGCTGGGTTTATCCATCTCGAGGGATTAGTGTCCACGCCGACCCTTTCGTGCTTACCTTGAGGCCGGCAGTTTGGGACCAGCACCAGGATGAGCAGCAGCGGCACTGAAACGGAGAAAGGCAGCCATTAGAGACGCACTGAACAGAGGCAAGTTAAGAAGGAAAGGTGTGCGCAATCCCAATGCATTATCGTAAAAAGTTTATGAATCCTTTCGGGTGGAGTGTGCTGGCGTCACGAAGTCACGGGCAATTGAAACACGTCATTGTCGCAAAAAAGTTACACACGACCAATGACAGGCCATCAACGATAGATCAAGCCGGGAATGCCTGGGCCCGCCGCTAAGACTCGCTGCCTGATATATCGGTGGCGCAAAGACGTGTGTTTATAGGGCCAACAGCGCCGCCGCCCCAAGCGGAGTGGAGCCAGGTGTTCCAGCCAAGGCTTCTTAACCCTAGCTCCCGTCAGCTTCCTCGCCAAAATATCTATTGCACTCGAGAGGTTTTGTTTTGATCCGGCCAGAGAGGGAGAATGGGAATATATTGTGGTCTCGGTTTGAGCCCCCGAGCATAAATTTGCAGGTGCTAAAAAGCGGCAAGGGATTTTGCCCCGCCGGGTGTCGAGGCGGAGGCCTTGAGCCTCGCTCCTTGGGGCGTGCCTTGGCAGCGACGGCAGCGAGGTGAAAAGGGATCACCCGTAAACGACGCTCTTCCGGCAGTACTGTGTGCTGTCCCTTCTGTAACAATGTAGCATGCTGGTCGATTGGCGAGTTCAAGTTCAAGGCATCTCTATTTCTGTAAGAAACTCGTTGACTCACAACGACCCCACCTGATGATAAGGATTAATTCGGTCGCTTTTCAGTCATCGGCATTTTTCAAACTCAAACTGGTTTCAAAAATATCCTGACTTTAGGAGTGATGGTCGCATATTTTCCATTTTTATCCAAGATTCGTGTATGTCACTGGGTCATGTCACTCCCTTAAGCAGCTGAAATTAAAGTACCGGCTGGAATCCTCCTATCCTTAGTGAAGATGGATTGTATTTTGTGTGGTTATAACTCTAATTTCCCCTAAATGCTTGATGCTTTTGTTCTCCCATTTCTTCTTTTTTTTGTCAGCGTGAAATTATTAACGAGCTTGCATTGGAGTTGCAGTGGTACTCCGCTCGGGGACGCCTCGCCGCGCCCCGCCGAGCTTCGTCCGCTGCTCCGTCTTTGTTTGCCAACAATATCCCTTTTATTCCTTTGCGCCTCCCTCCTTCTTCTTCCTTCTCTTTGTTTCCCCGCGCGGCGCAACGCGGCGCAAATCCGTAAATCCGGCGGCACGGCGATGCAGCACTTGGCTTATTGAATCTGGGCCGCCGCGGCGGACGCGCCGACACGGCCTTGTCGATAACCACGTACCGCGAACAAAGTGACAAGACAAATTTCAGTTTCAACATTACAATACAACGGTAGTTGTCATTTTTCAAATCACATTGTTTCACAGGACTTAATTCCTCATTCAACAAAAAGTCTAGCGATGACGCCTTTTCGTAACTATACAACACCTTGTCATAAACCAAAATCACAACACAGGCTGTGGGGTTCTTATAATGTTTTAAACAGAGCAGTTAAACCACGCGGAAAGGCCGCTGTCAGAAGTTTTATAACTCAAATAGAAAGACGGCTTCATTCTGATTTTCCTCGCGTTGAGGTGGGGAAATTGAGCGCGGCGACTCGTGTGATCCGACGCGTGAACTCAAGTGAGCGGTATATCTCCTGTTCCGGAACAACAAGGAGTTTTGTTGTTGTTGTGGGCGGCCTTGCTCCAAGCCAACAATGCATCACACCTCACACAATGCAGGCTGGAAGGGCACGCGGCTCGAACAAAATGGACCTGTTTTCCCTCTCAACAACGCTCCTCCTCCCCCACCATTGTTTTTAGTGGGAGGGAGATAGAAGGTGTCCCAGCGATACCCCGCATCATAGGGGCTAGCTGTGTTCTCGACGCAAAAAGGACATGTTCTGGTGAATAAAAAAAGGGTTCGTGTTTGGCCCTGTTTGCCTACACTGCTTGATGTGCTGGCTGGTTTGGTTCCGTTATTTACGGCTACAAAGTCGTTTCTGTCGAGCAGAAATTGACTGTTGCTGTGAAACTTTTCAGCCATTTGGGAAACCCTTACAGCAGCTGGTTGACAGAAATCCGTTCACTGAAGAGCTAACCTCCAGAGCCATATAGTGTCCTGGAAAGTCCATCGCTATTCAGCAAACTAAATATACGCACCTGCGAAGCGAGACATCGTTTTTGTCCTTCAGTTCCTGCAGATTCCACAAGTACAGGTTTCGCAGTGTCGTCATACATATTCAGCTCATGTTAAGCAGCAGGGCAGCCAGTGGCAGCAAAAAAGGGCCTAGGCGACATCGTCCGGGTCGCCACTTTCGACGCGGCAGGGATCTTGGGGGCAGGCGTCCCGGCCTAATCCGTCACGTCACGGCTTTTACGGTGCAAGTTACCCCGAGCAGCAACACCTCCCAGATAAATTCTGAGAACTGATTCTCCCTCTGAACAAGTCATGGTTAAGAAAGGATTGGTTCCGTGGTTAGTGGAAGCTCATTGTAAGTAGTAGGAATTTAAATTGAGCTGCGAGGGTTTGGGCGAGGCCCGGCGCGGTCCCTGATGACCTTGCTGTTATGGCGCTTCTTTTCTGTGGAGCGGCGCCTAGGCGGGCCATTTTCGCATCGCGTGACTCGCAATGAGGAAGATGATGAATCGTCGTGATGGAGGCTGTGCCAAACTTGTTGGAAAATGCGAGGAATAAATGCAAAACTCGAAGGCGCGCCGCAGTCCGGTCCGCATGGTCTAATTGAGTGATGGGGTCACGTCTCCAGTGACTCCCTTTTCTAATGACCGAAGCAGCACACAAATGTTTTCTTTGCAGTGGTGGGTCCAGAGCTGCCGTTGGGGCAAAGCAGCACTTTTTGGCCTCTGCCAGGACCAAAATGTTACTTTTTGACTTCCTTCCAGACGGCAACCAGGGGGCCGAGCGAGGGGAAACATTAATTCGTCTATTTGCCTCCGCCCTGGATCTGCGCTTTTTTCGCAAAGGAATTGACAAGGTTTGGCTGCATGCGGGTGGGAGCGAGCTCTGATGTCAAATTGTGCGTTTCTGGAAACGCCAGCTAATTTCATTGACGCGTGATGTTTTGAAGAGTCCCATCCCACTGGACTAATTGATTGAGGGTTGTATTGTGGATAATGAAACACGCCAGTCCATCAAGCTGCCCGGTCCCGCATGCAAAGCTGGACGGCTGTCCGGCCCGGCAGGCCCTTCCACCCCGATTTCCTGGATTGCGGGTTGCAATCGCTTGGCTGTGGTCAGCATTGATATAGCCAACACCTCGCCGCCATACATAAAATGTAAAGACTCGTTTCTCTCTGAATGTTATACACTACTTTCTTATCTTTGAATTCGGCAATTCCTGTCTCACAGCCATGGTACGGTTTCAGGCAACACAAATACCAAGGAATTCGATTTTCCCCATTTTGCGATTATTTGCCGGATCGCTCTCTCATGCTGTTTGGTACATGCAATCTGTGCCGACGTTTCCCAGGAAACCACAGCCCGAAAACCATGCTGACAGAATAACAGAGATTCGTGGAAAAATGCAGGAGCGGCCTTCTCGCGCACACTTCACAAATGCAACGAGTTCGAGATTGAATAAACCGCCTGAGCTGGAACTCCGTGTAACTCTACAAAAAGTCAAGGAAACATTGTCGTTAAAAGCCGACCTGTAAGCTGCGCTGTCCCTTCGCGTGTTTTGGTGCAGTCATCAGCCTGCCCCACCCTCCGTTCGTCTGCCAGCCTGCCTGTCTGTCTGGCCCGCGACATTTTGTCACCTTAAAAAGATGACGCCGCAACGCCGCTGGCAGCGCCGTGACAAATCCTTATCGTCACGCGCTGTGGGGTGCGTTCGCGGCGTTCGAGGCGTTCTCAGCAGCCACCGTCGCGCCCCACACGCAGCCCCTGATGAGCCAGCAGCCTCCTCGGGCGTCGCTCAAGTCGCAGCAATGACTCCGTGGCCACTGTAAAAGTAGATTTCTCACAATGTTTACTTAAATTTTTCTTCCAGGGACGTCAGCACACCCAGGGTTGATCACAAATTCCTCACACCCACGAGCTGAGCATATAAGGTTTTGTCTTAATTTCATCGATGCGTGAGAGAAACCGAGGTTTCAGTGATGCAATTGTCCACCGGGGTATTTGTGAAAACGTGACCACAGACATTTTTTTCAGTGGGATCATAGTTTCCTGCATCTTACAATCATGCATTCCCCCCGGCCGCAAACATCGTTTGCTGACACGGTCCGTCTGGATCCCTCTAGTGGCGTCGGGGTGGAGCTGAACGAGACAGCTGTGGAGGCGGACGGACGAGGAAGGAGACGGGGAAAAAAGCGGAACAGAAAAAGAGTGTGTCACAGTGTTACTGTCAGTCTTAAACGGCAGGGGATGGGGCTGCGTCTGCGTCAGCCCTAAGTCGGGGCGCGGCAGCGCTGCGCAGTCTGGACCGTCTCGACGGTCTCGACCCAGCCAATGTGCAGCGGCGGCACGCGCGGCTCAACTCCACTGCCGGCAGTCTGCCGCAAGCTGCACAGGCAGCGTGCCGATAGTGAAATTTTTAGACATATGGAGGGCAAAGTTTTTGACAAGACATGATTCAGAAACCAAGGCTTTTTTCAAAAGCATTTTTCTAAAATGGGATCAATTCTAGAAAACGGTTTTACCAAGAGTGTGCTCAAAATTCCTAGACTGGCGTTCTGACCCGTTGCCTTCGCACGAGAACCCCCGCGAATCTCGGCAAAGCATCCGCTTCCCTGACGGCCACTGACTCGCTCGTCGGCGCCCACACCGTTTGTTTCTGTAGCGCCCTGGGCGGCCGGGGGCCCCAGCCGGGCGCCCCACTGTAGGCCGAAGGGCCGGAGGACCGCGATGAAGCGAATCGCTTTGTTTGCGCACACAAGCGGATCTGCCCAGCAGACTGAGAGTCGTTTTCGTCGCTCTGTCTCTCTCGCGCCTGTACGGAGCACCCCATGAGTGCGAGAGAGACAGAGTGCGCCCCTCAGTCTGC